CGGCTCCCGCCGCGCCGAGGTGCCAGCAACTTTGTGACTGAGTTCTTGAACCCGCCTGAACCGCGCGCTAAGAACAGCCGGGCGCCCCGCGCAGCGCCCGCAGGGTCTCAGCGCCACAGTGTCGAGCGGCCCGCAGGTCCCCGCACGGCCACACTAGCGGGCAGGACGCGGCCTCCCCGCCAGCTGGGAAGGGCCAGAGAAGGGGTGCGGGGTCACGGCCAGCAGGGCGCCGGGGCACCCAGGCACCGTGGGGCGTCCTCTGCTCCCCAGGACTCCCCTGACTTCCCGTCGCGGACGCGAGGCCCCAGAGGCCGCAAGCCGGCCCCCAGCCCGGCGCCCCTCTGCCTCGGGCCCCAGCGCCCCGAGCGTCCTTCGCCCTGCAGTCCCCCGCGCTGGCCACCAGAGGGCCCTGCNGGATACTTTCAAAATCATAACGTGGCTGCTCCTCACTTGAGAGCTTGTATCACCCTGGAAACTAGGCGCTGAAAGTGACTGCAGATGGGACTGTCTCAGGAGGTATCTTCATTGAGGAGCTGCTTGGACAGTGGCTTATATGGGGAGCTGAGGAGTGCCTCCAAGGTCTTGTAGATTGGCCTAGATCCACATCGTGTGGCTGAGTCAATGGAACCTGATTTGAGCTCCCCAAAAGATTTCTTCAACTGCCTTCCCACCCTGTTGAGGAAATGTCTGCATCATCAGAATCATCACCACCAAGACATCTGGGTAACACTGATCTGAACTAGAATCATGGTTGTCTCCCAGAGCCCAAGTAAGTGCTACATAGAAGATACTGGTATTGGAGGGAAAGATGCAACCCAGAAAGTGCCTGCGGTAGTAACTACCTAACGATGGGGAAGTCCTGAGCTATAGTGATTGCAGGGGGTCACAGGGAAATAGGGATATTGAAGAATATTTGGAAGGAGGAGATGTAACAAGGGCAGAGATTGTATTCGTCATATGAAAAGGTCGTGGTCTGGGTCGCCAAATCTGTCCTGATTCAGTTGGTCTAAAATAGGTCTAGGAATATGTACTATGTAAAGCATCCCCAGGGTGACTTTTGTCAGTGAATCTTCAACTGATGTTAAGTTGAGACAAACATCAAAGATACTTCCAGCCTTTGAATCCAAGGAGGAGGATGTTGCCACTCATAGATATTGCTGAGCTACTGAACGTGGGGAAAAGAAACATGGGTTTTGGAACAAGCGTGCAGGGATGAGATATTGAGAAGGTAGCCCATAAGTCAAGAGGAAATAGGGAGCAGACCATTTTATTAAGTCTCTACCATGCTTAAAAATCCCACAGAGATTTTTTTTTTCCCTTTCGGATAACATCTGACATTTGAAGGTCTGCAGAGTAGCTCCGCCTGCTTGCCCATCGTATCCCCCATTACTCCTATGACGAAACCCTCGTGGCAGAGACAGTCTCCTCCCTGACTCCAGCCAGCCATGTGCTTTCCCATTCCCACCATTCTTGCTCATAATAGTTGACGCTCCTGGTCCTCGCTCCCTGAATTGTCTGTACATGGGCCAACTCAGATCTCAGCACCAGCACCAGCACCAGCACCAGCACCAGCACGGCGCGCACCACGCCGCCCACCACCAGCACCAGCACCACCACGGCGGCGCGGGCCACCACGTGCGCCTGGAGGAGCGCTTCTCCGACGACCAGCTGGTGTCCATGTCGGTGCGCGAGCTGAACCGGCAGCTCCGCGGCTTCAGTAAGGAGGAGGTCATCCGGCTGAAGCAGAAGCGGCGCACGCTCAAGAACCGCGGCTACGCGCAGTCCTGCCGCTTCAAGCGGGTGCAGCAGCGGCACATTCTGGAGAGCGAGAAGTGCCAGCTCCAGAGCCAGGTGGAGCAGCTGAAGCTGGAGGTGGGGCGCCTGGCCAAGGAGCGGGACCTGTACAAGGAGAAATACGAGAAGCTGGCGGGCCGCGGTGGCTCCGGGGGCGCGGGCGGGCCCGGCT